ATAAGGATTGAGAGCATAGGCTTTCGTGGTTAAGAACCTTGCATCTGAAGAAGTGAGGTTCTTACCCACGAAAGCTTATGCTCCCTATACTTCTGTTAGTCTTAAAGGTGCCACAGGACCCTCTGTTACTTTTTACAGATTCAGACTAACACGGCTACCCCTCTGATACTTAAAGCCTTAATTGTTTTTTTGGAAGTGGGGGAGAAAGACAAGGGGCAGCTGTAATTTGGAAGTAGTTCTCTAGCCCTCCAACTTCTCCTAAATGGGTCTGGTTAAGCCTAAACGGGTGGTTTTCCATATTTCATATGCTGGTTACTTTTCAAAGTTTTAGCAAAAGAGTCCCTCCTCCTTCCCAGCCCCACACAGAGAACTTTCTCGATGTCAGGGAACATAATATCAGTGTGGAAGAGAAGTGCCACCTTCCTCTGCGTGCAATGCAGAGGGGCGGGGCGGGGGGCATTTCAACTTCTCTCTTGCAAAGCACTCTGACATCGCTGCAAGCGGGAAACGTTGCTCGCAACCCGCACGCTCGCCAAACCGTAGCGCTCCCTCTCCCGCAACACGACGATGCATCTGTGGCACCACAAGGTGCATCTCCCTCCGGGGGGGGGGGCGGCATTCATTCCTCCCCGCGGCTGGGGCCGTGGAGGAGGTTAGCCGCGGGCAGAGGTGCCAGCCGCCGGGAGAAGCCAGGCGCGGGCTAGGGAAGGAAGGGGAACACTCACCGATGTCAGAGTTGCAGAAAGCATCCTGGGGGTGGATGGGGAGGCAGGTACAAGCCTCCGCCACCAAGTCGCTCAGGCTCCAGCTGCAGAGGAGCACGAGGAGGAAGCTGAGCCACACAGACATGATGCTGGTGCCGCTGCTGGCCCAAAGCTGCTCTCCACTGGGGAGGGGAGGGCTGGCTTGTTGGTGGGGTGGGGGCTGTTCTTCTTCTTTAGGTTTCTTTTTAAACGGTCTTTGAGCCGCTTCTCCTTGCGCCGCCCCCTCTCAGTCCAGTCGCTGCTGGGCAGTGCGGTTGTGTGGCAGCTTTGCCTGGGCTCCCCCTGCACGCGGAGTTCGAAGCTATCAGCGCCTTTGCTGCTCTCCTGGGCTGGCGGCTGCAGTTATAGCCTGGATAGCGCCCTCTCGGGCTCGTGGGGTGCGCCCCCGCCCCGACCAATCGGAGCCCCGCATTACCTCATCTCCCAGGCGAAAGGGGAGAGGCTAGGGACGAGCGTGGGGGGGGGGGGCGGGGTTGGAGCGAGGGATTCAGTGCCTTATAGGGAATAATATGGCTGTGGGAGTGTGGTGGGGCTGCGAGAGGGATCACAGCAAAGCTGCTTGTTGCCTGCAGCATGGGCCCCTCTGGAGCAGAGAGAGGGAGATGCAGATGGAGGAAAGGGGTTAATAAGGGTTGCTACCTGTTTCAAAGCCCAACCAAAAGTTCCTTGTTCAGGGCAGCCGCTCTCCTTTCCCATGCCACCGCCTGATGCTGGAGGCAGATGCTGTTGCAAACAGGTTGCATTATTCTTGGATCACAGCGCAGAGCAGATCCCCAGCTCCTGTAAACTGCCATGGCTTCGTCATTACTTCAGTGATGGAGCTGTGCTCATTTATAAACGTTTTGACAATGTGCCTCGCCCTCGAACACATATTTCGGTGGCAGAATCCAATATGGGAAGATCAATTCAAAGTGCAGATTTTTTTTTCATCTGTAATTACTTTCCTGGAAAATAGCTCATCTGAGTGGGAGCTAATTTTAAACTGGAGGTTCTAGAATATGAATGCTTTTTTTTTTAAAGAAAATATATCACAGCAAGAAATTAACATACTAGTGCTTCTTTTCCTTCCTCCGTGTGCAATGGAATGGGGTTGGAAGAAAAAAAGAAGGGCAAGTCCTATTTGGGCTGTAAACCAGGATTTAATGTTTGTGTTTTTTAATCCTATCCAAACCCTTCCCCACAAGACTCCCAGGCAGCAAAGGGTGATAAAGCAAACTGTTAAAACTGAGCTGGAAAAATAACCTGTCATATCTACCCAGGCACTCCCAACTCTTAATCTTGCTGTATATTTTAGTAGTGATGCTTTAGTGCAATCTATAGTGAAGTCCTGTTTGCTTTGGTTTGGTTTCCCTTATCCCTGTTTGGAACTGTACATTTCTCTCAGATGCAGACATGTAACTGTTACAGTAGAGATGGACTTTGAGGAAGGAAGATTGCCAGATGCACAATACAGACAGCCTTATTATCCTGCAAAGGGACGGAGGAGTGATTAATGAAAGTATCAAACCACTGCACTTAATATCAGAGTATTTTCCATGGGGTTTATAAGATTTAAGCATTTCGAGTTGTACATTATGCCAGTATTAAAGGCCAGAGACCAGCTGTCCTAAGTTTCTAAACAGTAGGCTAAATCTTCAAATGTACAGTTCAGTTACATCTGAGTAAAAGATTGCCTATCTGTACCTAGTTTTTAATTGTACAGCCTATAGAAAACAAATTAAGAACTCTAGTCCCTTGGAAGGATAGACTTTGTTTTGGGTATTACTATTAGACTACTACAGTATGGATGGTTATATTAGAGAGGAAGGATTGTCTAGAGGTTAAGGTGGTGCTAGTTTGGGACTTGGGAGACCTGGGTTCAAGCTGTGCCACCAGTGACCGGTGTGACCACTTAGCGTACGTCTACACTGCAAAAAGAAAAAAGCCACAGCAGCGAATCTCAGAGTCTGGGTCTACAAACTCGGGCTTGTGCTATGGTGCTAAAAATAGCTGTGTAGATGTTCCAACTTGGGCTGGAACTCTGAGACTTACCCCCCTCTCTGGGTTTCAGAGCCCGAGCTCCAGCCTGTGGTGCAGGAAAATATACATGGTTATATTTGGCACCATGGTGTGAGCCCCACAAGCCGGAATCTGTAGACCCAGGCTTTGAGATTCAGAGCTGGGGGAAGTGGGAGTTGGAGGGTTGGGTTTTTTTTGTTGTGGTTTTGGGTTTTTTGTTTGTTGACAACGTAAACATACTCTTTCTCTCTGTGTGCCTCAGGTCTTCATCTGTAAAATGAGGATGATAGCACTTCTTTACCTCATACGGGAGTTGTGTGGTTAAATACATTAAAAACTGTGTGGTGCTCACACAATGTACATATATAAATATAAGTACAAGAGAGCGAGAGACAGTTCTCTGAAGCAGATCACTTTAATGTCTAACTGTACATAGTTTTGTGATGCATCTTTGCAACCTGAGAAACCCCAGGCAAAAATATGAGTTGGGTATTTGTAATCTATAGTTGAGTGCATATGAGAAAAGCTAACTCCCTGGGACTAGACTCTGATCTCAGTTTTACTGGTGTAAATCAGGAGTAGCTCCATTGAAATCAGCTGAGGTACACTGGTGTAAACCCATATTAATAAGATCAGAATCTTGCCCTGCACTTTTTTCACTATTAGAAATATGGGTCTGAAATTGACATCACCAGCATCATGATACAACTGACCAATCAGCAAACAGCACCACAACACACTATTCGAGAGAGGAAGGATATACTGAAAATTAGAGAGTTTGGCCCACAAACTCCCAAATTTTGATCCCACTGACTCCCTCTGTCGCTTTGACCAGGTCACTCGCTGAGTCAGTTTTCTCATCTCTAAAATGGAAATAGTCATGCTTCCCTACCTCACTAAAGTGTTATGAGAGTTAATGAGTTGAAGTTTGTAAAATGCTCTGAAAATGTTACATGCTAAAAGTTGGTGTTATACTCAGACAAAAGACATACTCAGAAGAAACTGAAAGGGGCAGAGGAACAAACCCCTGAGTTCCTTCCCCCTCTGGTTCCGAAAAGGGGATCAGGCCAGGAGTTCCTGAAGTTACAAGAGGCTCCTAAATGCTTGGGGCTTGTCAAAGAGGTGGATTTTCTATTGTGCTATATTGGTTTTTCTGTATTTCTCCCTGTACTGAATGCTGAGCAATAGTAACAATAATACATAGCTCGCATAGAATGCTTTTCAGGTGCAGACCTCAAAGGGCTCAGGGGATCTAGGTTCTAGTTCCAGCTCTGCCATGGGTCTGCTGAGTGACTTTGGGCAAGTCACTGCCCATCTCTGTGCCTCAGTTTCCCCACCTGTAATATTGGAGTAATGATACTGATGAGAAGAGCTGTATGAGAGCTCGCTATTGGTATTATTATGGGGAAACTGTGGCACAGAGAGGTGAAGGGATTTGCTGAAGGTCATGCAGCAGGGCAGAGCTGGGATTACAACCTAGATGTGGCTCCCCATCTAATGCCCTAGCCTCTGGGCCACAACGTCTTTTGGAGGGAAAACTAAAGGAGGAAAAACCAGAACTCTTCTTCTTGAAGAAAACTTTAAGCCTTTTGTGGCCATTTTCAAAAATACCTTGATCCACTTTGTGCTAGGATCCCACAAGCTAAGCATGACTGGGCTAGGTCAATACTTGGTGTGAAAATTCCAAGGATAACCCATGTAACATCTGTAGGTGTTGGTGACTCAGTATGTGGCGTCCTTTCCTGTGAGTCAGTCCTGAGTTAATGTCTCAACATAGTGCTAGGGGGCACTGCGCTGCAAGATATAGGTTGGGTTTTGTTTCAGTGTGGAGTGAAGCGGGGGTTCTGACCACTTGTGATAACCAAAGAATCCATGGTGCTTTTTGCCAGAGTAGGGTGGTTAACCCTTATGTCCTGGTTAAATTCCAGCAACAATAACTACTTTCTGCTTCCATGAGTTCCCACTATGATTTAAATTGGATACATTACTCTTCTCTTCCCCCTCTTCAAATCCTGTTGCATACTGATGCCAGGCAGGGAATGTCTGAGGTGTTCCACCCCAGAGGTGGCTGCTATGGTTGAAGTATCCCCGGTACACAGGGTGTAAATCACTCTGGGATCCTCCTGCAGGACAAAGGGTGCTATGTAAATGATGTAAGCTACTACTGTAAAGTAATGGAAAGGGTATTCTCCTCCTTTCTGGCTACCTCTGAAAGTGAAATTTTATGAGACCTAGGTACTGCAAGAAAACTGCTTCTGAACTGACAAAAACTTAATGTAATTAGTACAAAAAGACGTTTCATGAAACTAGGGGAACTGTTGGTTAAAAGTACCAAAATTAAGTGCAAAGCAGTGCCAGAACTGCTCCAGCTAACCAAGGAGCACCCAGGGTCAGACCCACAACTGGCATAAAGGCACAGAGCCCCACTGCAGTCAATAGACTCCTGTCTGCAAGTTAGTCAGCCCAGCCACTTCCGTGAACAATAGGTTAACTTAAAGCACTATACATCTTTTTTACAAATTCTGACTTCTCCACGGAAAGTCGACGCAGTCCATAAACATGGAGTCATGCCAGTCGCATTTTAAATTGTTAACTACTGGCAAAAATAAGTTTCCCTTCCCTTGCTTTAATAAGTCTCCTTGTAGTCAATGGAGCGGCGCTGATTTACACCAATTTAGCATCTGGCCCTCAGTCATTGAAAACTCCAGATGGTCATTTTTACACCAGGCTGCCTTCATACCGACGATGGCAGAGAGTAAATACCTTTCTCTCCTGGCTGGTGCCACTTTTGATTCTGTTAGATTGCAGGGTGTCTCTTGCCCTACTGTCTCACACCGTGCCATGGAATAGGAAATCCCACATGAACAGTCCTGGATTAACAAGAGGGATTCTGTTATTATATGTTTCTTTATCAAGGATCTGGTCCTCTGTATTTGTATAAGCTGCTCTTTGGGAAGACACTTTTGTTCAGTGTTGTTTTTGCATGTTAGCTATGATTTATTTGTATGAAGAAAGGTTGAGAAAAATGCCTCTATTAATTGCTTTCTTATGCCAGTGAACTTTATATGTTACGCTTATTCACTAAATAGTTGCTTTGTGGTTTCTTTAAAAACTACATCTTTGGTTCCCTCTCTCTCTCTCTTTCTCTCTCTCTGTACAAATTTTATTTGATCTAATTATCTGAGGTTATAAAGGAATCATGCCACCTTCCTGTCTGCAAGTCAGATGCAGGTGAGACTACACCCCATTCCCGAGCTTCAGATTACAGATAAACTATAGCATAATAATCTCCTCAAACATTTTTATAGCACATTTAATTCCAAGGGATCCTAAAGTGCT